CCGGTAGCTGTCCGCGCAGTCGGCGCCGCCCAAGGGCGAGGGCTCGGCGGGCTGCGCGCCCAGGTAGGCGCCGCTGCCCTTGCTCTGCTTCCAGCTCGGCTGCCTTGGCTTGGGGCCGCCGCCGCAGCCCGGCGCCATGGGCCCGCGGTAGCCCTGGTACAGGCTGTAGGGCGGGTAGACTAAGCTCTCCATGGCCGCCCCCCTGACACGTGCCCGCCGCCGCTGCCCGCTCTTATCCCGCCGCCAATTGGCAGGGCGCCTCCCTCCCTCCCGCTGCGCCCCCGCCCCCGCCGAGCCCCACCGCGGGCGCAGCGCAGCCCCCGGGGAAGAGGATTTCCTTCCCTTTCCCCCTACCTCGACATGCTGAAGTCCTGTTACCCTCCGGGATATTACTCCTCAGAAAAGGGGGGAACTTCGTGCTCCTGATTGGGAACGCACATGCACCCCCGAGAGTGGAGGTGCACCCCCTGCGAAAAGGCGCCGCCAACACTGCGGCCGGTCACCGCTCACGCCCCTCCCCCCCCGCCGCCGACGCCGCTGGCGGTGTCTGCGGGCAGTCCGCAATCGCCGCTGGCCGCCACCAACACTGCAGGTGGCATCTGCAGGTGGTCACTGGCGCTCGCCACCCCTTCCCGCCGCCGCCGACAGAGCTGTTGCTGCCTGCGGGAGCTTCCCGCTTGCCACCGTCACACTCCCACGGCTGACAGTGCCGCCATCTGTGGGAACTCACCGTGTCCCCCCAGCCTCCAGGGGCACCCCGCGTTCATGGGAGGAGCAGATTTGTGTGAATCCATAGTCCTGTACCCAGTCCTGGGCCCGTGGTCATTTATTCCCATTAACGAGCCCATGAAGTCAGATGAATGTCTCCATCCGTGATTCTCAGTCAGGCTGGCACCTCGGGTGCCCTGAGGGACTTTCCCAGGTGCCACTGGTAGGTGTGCAGAGGTGGTTGGCAAGATACAGCCAGAGATTTGAAAGAGTGTTAAAGCCCTTCTGCCCAGCCAGGGTGTTGCCTTGCTCTATGCAAGGGAAGAATGGCTCTGTTATTTTGCTGTCCTCAAAAAAATGGGTGAGAACTAAGAGCTGGTGTTTTCTGAAGGGTGCCTCAAGCCTAAAACAAGGCCACAGGTCCACAAACCTAAAAAGAATTACTGGTCTATTGGGTGGTAATTCATCTGGTTTTATAGAGGACAGACCAGTTTTCTGGTCCTCTGTCCTCTACTGATATGAAACCAGACACCTTCATGTCCTCTATTTTTCACCGCTCAGCATCCCCACGCCCCCCGCTGCCAACACCGCTGCAGCTGCCTGCAGGAGCTCCCTGCTCCCCACCACCAACGCCACCACTGCTGCCTGCGGGAGCTCGCCATGCCCCCCAGCCTCAGGAAGTACGCGATGTTCATGGTGGTAGGGACAGGGGGACAGTTGCACTAAATGCAACTGTTCTCTATTCTTGAGACACGTCGATGGCCACCCTACTGGTCTACATCATCGGCTCTCCTAAGGGCGGTGTTTCCTATGATCTGCTGAAACAAGAAGACAAAATCCTTTGTATGTTATACCTACCCCATCAAAAATGGAGAGTGAGTTGATGTTTTCCTTTTAATTCTCTTAGGAACAGGACTGGAACAGATTTCCTGTGTCATAGAGTCCAGTCTTTTGCTACCATAGACAATCGTGTTAGACCACCCTTTTTACAAATTTATGAAGAGCCATCTTAAAATCAAAAGACAAGTCAGTCTGCTGGAGTGTGGCAATTATGGCACTCCAGCATCCTCCTGAATCTCTCATTTATCACCGCCCCATGCCTCAAAATGGTGGCGGGGCACTTGAACTAAAGCTCATCGAACAGGCCTTCTTTTAAGGTAAAAGGAAATTAAAGCACCTCCACCCCTGGAGCACATGTAAAAGTGCCCTTAATGTCTTGAATGGTATGATCTGTTCTAAGATTGGATTTACTTTTTTCACTGCTGCCGTATATTAGTGGCTCATAGGCATCCTGTGATTGACTAGTACAACCAAGGCTTTCTCCGTCTTGACTGTTTCCAGCTGATGAGCTACCAGCCTATAGTAGAAATTCTAATTATTATTCCTTTTTGTACTATTAAATTCCATCCCATTGCTATTCTTCCAGTCTGCAAAGTCACCCATCTTTCTACTCTGTTATTCTGATCCTGCTCTATGTTGACACTGCCTCCAGTCATCAGTACATTGCATAATCGCATGTCTGTTTTTGTGTAAAAGTTATGAATGGAAATATTATCAGTTCCAAAACTGATACTTGAGGAAATCTACTAGTAACTACGCAAACCTGATGGTTCCCATTCAGCCCAATTCATTGCCATCTCCCATTTAGTCAGTTATTCACCCAACCATTGTACAATTGCTGCTGGACCAATGGCTTCCTGTGCTAGGTTTTCTAGAATTTTGGGATGAAAATTATCCAAGTGCCCCCAGTTTGGGCACATTCATTTCTTTGAGTTTTTCTTCCATTTCAGGTGTGATAATTTCCATATTTATATCTTTGTTCCCATTAACTATACTGCCCTTATTATAATAATTCTTATAATTTTTATCAAAACATTTTCATCATTGGAAACTGAGGCAAAATACTGAATTATCTTTTGAGTCTGATTATCTCTACTCCATTCTCAGTGCCTAGGATCCCATTTCCTTTTTCCTTCTCCTCTTCTTTTATGAAGCTGAAGAATCTTCTACAATTAATTTTAATCTCCTTTGTAAAATCACTTACTTCTGTCAATGTTTACATTAGCCCCACAATTCTTGCCCCCAAAGATATAATACCTAGTACCTTTTCCCATTCTTCAGAGGTTTTAGTGCCCTTCTTACCTTGAGGTGGTTATCCAGGTAAGTGTGAAACCTTCCTTGCACTTTCTGTCTCTTGCTTATGATGCAAGTTCAGGATAGTTTTTGTATTACTGATTAAAAGAAATTCCAGATTGCCTCAGTATTCAAGTTTTCTTCATTTGAGTTGCCTTCACTAATTAGTTCCCTTCATTTCTCAGTCTTCCTTTTTGAAATTGAAAACTATAGTACAGATTTTTGTTATTAGTCTAAAACAACTTGTGATTCCGTCAATACAAGTATATTTTGCACAACTAGCTCTTCTAGCATATCCTTACTATTTAATCAAATCTAAAAATAGTTGGAAAAAATTCTTCTTTGCAAGCTTTTGGGTATAAATACCTGAAAGCTTGCAAAGAAGACTTTTTCCAACTATTTGAGTTGGTCTAATAAAAGATATCAGATTGACCCAAAGAACCTTGTCTGCCTATGTCCTTAGACAAACACAGCTACAACCTATCTGCTTAGAACTTGTATGACATTCTGGACATGCTGAAGTCAACGGCAAAATTTCAGTTGACTTCACTGGGGCCAGGATTTCACCCTATAGCTCAGCTGTGATATTTGTAAACAGAGAGTCCTTTACAAATGAAAACCAATATTTTAACTGAACCTGGCAGATAGAACAGGCTCATATTAACTCACTTCACTAGGCAGAAAAGTCCTGAAAGCTACACTAAATATGTGTAGCTTTCAAGAGTGCAGAAGCATCACAAATGGGACCAGGCACTTGAGGCAGCTACCACACACAAGGGCAGCACTGGTTCTGGTGGCTGCTGTTTTTTTCTGCCTCCCCCCTCCTCCCCTGATCCCTCCCCACCCCACATTCAGGCTCAGAATGGCTGTTTCAGTGGCCCCACCCTAGTTATACTACTGGAAGAGTAGCCCTAAGTGTTGAAAACACTGTAGCAAAGACTTAATAGAGGCAGCAACATCCCTGCCATCAAACAAAGGTTTAAAAATACCTTGAGACTGCAGATCTTTGGAAGGACAATAAGTACACCCTTTGAAGACATGAAAGAGTTGTAACATTTGCTGTGATGGAAGGGCTGCTGTTCTATATTTCATTTGTTCAAAAAAAAGAAAAAAATGTTAATTGTTGACATGGAGAAACTGATCCCCCCAAAACATTTTTTAATCAGATCTGGATATAAACTAAATTGCAACTAGACACAAGATCTTTGGAATATAGTCAGTGAGCTGTGTGTTAAGGCCTTTGAATGGAGACTCTTAATCATTGCTACCCATCGTTGTATCCTCACTAGTCCATCTCTTAGGACTTTTATACACACAAAGTTGTTTGTATCTATTTAACTATACTAGACCTGGAAACCAATAAGGTACATTTAAATTGGTGAAATCCTCCAGTGTGGAAGCTGTCATGCTGCTATAAATGTACTAATATCTGTGTGATTAAATAAGTTATTTATATGTATAACTTATTTAATTGCACAGATATTAGTACATTTATAGCAGCATGACTGCTTCCACATTGAAGGATTTCAGTGTTCAGAGGATGTCTTTTCGTAACAGTATCACAGTAGGGAGTTGCACTAATTTCACTGTCATTTTCCTAGTTGATATGGTTAAATCAGTACAAAAATTTTTTGAGACTGCAAAGTTTGCAAAATTCTGTTCTTGCAGAGAAGGTAAATGATTTCTTTGTATTTTTCTTCATCATAAATAATGATGGAAAGATGTGTGTCCTAGATACAATCTTTTCTAATAATAAAGATGAGGAATGATCAGCGAATGAAGTATCAGAACAAGTGACTCAAGAAAAAGAATGATTAAAAAAGCTGTAAGTCTCCAGGTCCAGATGATATACATCTAGTGCTTCTAAAAGAGTTCAAGTGTGAAGTAGTCAAGTTTCTAGAAAAATCTGTTACCAAAAAGCTACTATACCAAAGGATTGGAGAGTAGCAAATGCACCAATATTTTAGAAAGGCTCTAGGCAGAGAAGGCTCTTTGGATAAATCTGATATCTTTTATTAGACCAACTCAAATAGTTGGAAAAATGTTTTGCGAGCTTTTGGGTACAAATACCTTTCATCAGATTAAAGAAGCGGCTGCAATTTGTCTGTGCTCTTCACATTTGTTTTGGAGAATTACGGATGAATAAACTTCATATCTGTGCCTAGACAGAGAAAGGTAGAGTGATTGGTTGAAATGTCTAGTTAAAAGCATTAATAAAATAGTTGGAAAGTCATAAAATGTTAGGGCATAACTAGCACAGTTTCTGCAAAAGAAAAACATGTCTTGGTATAAAAATACTTTTAACATGTCAATAAGGTAGGGAAATAAAGGAGAACTGATGGTAATTATTTGTTTAGCCTTCCAAAAGGGCTCTTGACAAAGTTCCTCCCAAGAGTCTAGTAAAGAAACTTGAGAAGCAA